AACTTTTACGGCCTTTCGATTATTATTGTAAAACTTCGCAAGTCACGCGAACGCGTATAAAAATACTAAGTGCACTATCGTGTAAAAATCGATACTGTGGAATGCGGAACTCCTGTCTCATTAGGTTCACTCTCTTTTATTCCTTATCGATGTTTGCCTTTCAACTCTTTTCATCATTTAGGAAAAACTTATCTGCGAAATCCTATATTTTAATATTTATTCTTATTTCTGGTTCAGGAACACGATATTTAATTAATTTCATTTATAATTATTTATGTTGGATTTCAAATACGATAATAATTGTAACTAAAGGATCTGTGAAAACGATGTATAATAAATCAAAAGCTAGATATTTACAATACTACAATTGCGCGAACTTACCAGATCGACAGCAGTTGATGTTTCAAGCCGGTTACTTTCGTCTGGAAGGCCCGCGTTGATCTTCTCGTTGTCGACACGCCACAAGAAAGTAGGCCTTGGATTTGCGTACACGGTCACATTTACGACCCCCTGACGTCCAATTACAAACCCAAAACGCTCGATGGGTGGTTGCGGTTGAGGAGGGTCTGAAAAAAAATGACACCCTTTTAATTGGCGAAAGCTTTGAAGAATTTTACACCGTGAATGTTTGAAGTTGAACGAAGCTGTGTACGTCTGTGCAAGATTTCAAGCGTCTGTGACGATGAAAAGTTTTAATTCGACTTATACAAATTATTACCTATCTAAAGAAACCGCGTAGCTCTTTACGTCGAAACTTTAAATTCAAAGTATATACATATATAAAGTAAAAAAGCGACGATTCGTTCATGTTTCACGTTAACTTTTCCATTACGTTTGCCGACTTTTGAAAATTCGTTATTCCACTTACAGTAAACTTGCAGCTGCATGGTAGTGTTCTTAGGCTGGTCGAGTGCGATGTGACTGGCGACGCATCGAAGAACTTTCCCGTTATCGGTCCAATCCAAGCTACGCGACGCATTTTGCACAGCCAGGGAATGATCGTCGACGTTTGTATCGAAAATTATGTGCCTGTCCTCGTTGCCGATGGGCTCGTCGTCTAGTTATCGTGGAACAAAGAAAACCGTATAAACGAAATAACTTCCCGACAACAAGAAGCTAATTAGAATGTTTCTTATCAAAACAACTAATTACCGAGGTATAAAGAAACGTTCGCCGCTGGTCGTCCGGACGGCGCGTTACAGCTCACTTCCAACTTTTCTCCTTTCCTGTAGATATATCTACCGTACGAACCGGGACTAGTGTGAAGCTCCGGATTATTCGGTGGTTCTACAAATCGAGGTCCAAGCATTAATTATCCCCCGCGAACAAGAACGATGTTAAATCTTCTATCGCGAGTCATGCGTTAAAATTGCGACAGGCTCATTAATTCTCCCCGTTTAAGAAGAAAACGTGGCTGATCTTTATTTAAATTCGTTTGAAACATTACCAGCTCTCGATCATGGCTCGCTTTCGTCATTTATCTTTATCGATTCTATCTGGAAACAGTAATTTCCTCTCGCGCTCTCTTATTTTTCTCTCTCCCCCACCTACACCCTCCCAACCCATCCGTTCGTAAGCAATTCTCTTAACGAAGATTAATTAGCTCTCGAATTCTCCTAACGCGTAGAGTGCGCCGTGATATTTTTACCCCCTTACAGGGAAATACTTTCTACTAACTGACTAACGTTACGAAGTTTCAACGATTTTCTCATTAATTTCAGGAGTGCGCGTAAAAAACTCGACGATTAGTTACATACAAGGTGCAACGAAGGTCCAGCGTTCTCCTCGTACCCTTCAGTTATCTGTTCATAGTTCGTAACAAAGAAAACTAATATCTCGCGCACATGCAATTTTTCATCGTCTTCCCCTCTCGTTCCCTGAGCTTTATTCTTTTAATTACATGAATCAGTGTAAAGTGGGTACAATACGTACTAGCGACGATGATCCTGACACTCGCCTGTGCCTCCGTTCTACTGTCGGTAGTCGCCAGAGTGCATTTGAAGAGTCCGTCGTGGCTCTCTTTGATCCTGGCGATGTGCACACCGCACTGGCCCTTCTCCGTGCCTTCGCCATAGTACTCGATGCCGTCTTCGGGCGGTTGGCCTTTGGACAACAGCATGCCACTGTCCTCGCCAGGTATCTCAACGCGGCAAACCTGAAGCGGTTTACCAACTCTGCATAAGATTTGCAGGCTCTCGCCCAGCCGCACGGCCGTCTGTCCCCTCGGCTCGATGTCCACGACTAGATTCTGTCTTGCTGAAACGATAGAAATACGCAATTAAATTCCGGAATGAGGCAGGCTTTAAAATAGCTTTTCATTAGTAAGTTATATATACATATAACTGTACTCGTTTTCAACATCGTTTGGAATTAAATTACCGCGGAAGGTAGTTAAAGCACACTTTTTTCCACATTTCATTCTTAATATTTGCGTTACTTCTTAGCGAGTTTAGTGAATCCTTCTTCTTTATGAGACCCGCAGAGTGGAGGATATTCGTTATAATTTCTCGAGGCACAGGGTGCGCAGTACGCGGTTAATTAAGGATGTAATGAAGACACAGTGATATTTTGTTTAGTGGAAACGCAATAAGTTTCCTCAGACACTTTTCTTTCTACCACTTCATTCTACTATCACATGCGTTCGGGTGACATAATAAGTTTGCAGTGTTTACTCTCATTCAATTATCAATAAACTTTAATCGACGGTCTTGAAAGAATTCTGAAGAGGAGAAATCGAACAGCGGCGAGAATAAACTTTTCGTGGGATTTATGAGTTAAAAGGGAAAATTCATTGAATTATATTCTATATTTTATTGCGTTCGTGTATTTTTCACACCGTCTCAATAACATCTTGGGAAAGTCAATTGATTAAGTTCCTCTCACGATCACTAGTTTGCTCTTGTTAAATTTTCTCCATTCTTTGTTCTCGTTGTGTTAATAATTAGGAAGTTTCAATATTCCCTTCTATTTTAATAGATACAGGATTATCATCATTGTTCGTGCAAACGATCTATACATATTAATCTGGGAACACCTTTATTATAATATGATTTCATTCAGATATCTGATGAATATTCTCGTAATTATGATAAGAGCTTTTAGAACAATGAGTACACACATAAGCGGATCAGTATAATTTCATTTAGGAAAGAAAAAGAGAAATGCATTTCATTTTTGGACAATAGAATTTGTTTAATCTGCACGAATCGTATAGGCAAGTTAATTAATTAAATAATGGAAGATACGTCTTCCGTGCGCCTTGCTCTTTCAATCAGTTTTCCCTGTTCGCCCGGAACTCTCATTCGTCTGAAGCAGCGCGGAAAAAAAGGGCCGAGCTCGGAAGGAAATTCCTTCCTGGCCGCGCCGCGTCCGATCCTCGTTCGCTTTCCCCGAAACTTTTCGTAATTGTGCTGGTATGTAATGGATAACGAGAACTACCAGCCGGCCGACAGTCCGGCTTGTATCGTAAATGAACAAAAGTTCGGCGCAAAAAGCTTCGAAAGTATCGAGCTACGTGTATACCTGCGCCAGTAGTACGGGTACAGAAATGGGGCATGGGAAAACGAGGGACGAACGGGGCGGAAAGTGAGAACGCGTATCCGACAAATTCCATTAATAACTGCATTGTCAAGCTACATTATAACCGCGTGTGACATCGTGGAACCACTGGAAGCTTCGCCCGACGTTCGAGCGTACTCTCGGCATACAGAATCCGTTATATCTCCAGAAAATCTGTGGAGAAATGGAAGCCCGCTGGTGTTCCGATATTATTCGATAATAAATTGCGAGCTTCGACGCTAGAACGCGTGATTGCAACACTGCGAATACCGTGAGAAACGAAAAATAACTCTGTTAATGGTGAAATGATCAAAAGGGTTGCAACGTGTTCTCTTTCTTTTTACGTCTCGTTATTTTTCCTCTCCATATACTCGCCGCGTTTTTTCCTACTCTCGTATCGGCGTAAGCATAAGCCGCGCACCGTATTCTCGGCGATTTGCGACAGGAAAGCGTTTGAACATTATACGGGAAACCGGATTTTCCCTTGGTTTCGGTTTGGGTTCGTTACTGCACACGCGGCGCGTTTCGTAGGCGATGCGAAAAACGGGAAGCAGCCTTGGCGACGACTGCTATCCTGCAACAAATTAAATTCTAGAGAAAATTGGTTCATTATCCGCGAGAATGTTGCGGAGAGTAACTCGGTTTGTTGAGGAAATTGAATGAGGAACCGCGCACACGGAGGCATTGCAGCCGCGACGGGAATTTGCGGATTAATCATATGGTTTTATCAAGACGGCTTGGAGTCTCGCCTCTCTTGCGGAAAAAACTTATCCCGACTTGTTTTCGATTTAATATGTAGGCTAGGATCTTCTTTATCTCATTTATTCTTTCTCGCTCTCATATATCCGCTTGCACGACAATTTTAAATCTTGTTCCACGAAATCTTTAAATAAGTAAAATGATTATTTCATATTATTTTTTAAATAATTTTCACATCAATTTCAAAATCAGAAAATGTCACTCGTGCTTCATTAATAATTTCTTATATAAAATATGTAATTTAGTCTCCACTTGCGAGTTATCAAACACAGAAAGATTTTTATTGGGTACACATAAACTGCATCAATCTCATAAATTAGGAACGTGTCCTCTTGTCAGGAACGAGGTAGTGATCTCGTGCACGACGCTATTATAATAATGCGCGCAAAGAAATATGATAAACTGGGCGTGGCAAGAGTAACGATTATCATATTTTATCTCGGCTCGACGCATCGAATAATAACTAACCGCGAATTGTATCGGTCGATCTTGCGGACGTTCATCTTCCAGTGTCGCGAACGGGAGCTTTCTTTTGCTGGCAAATGAGATACTCGTTACTTTTTCTTCATGCAGAATGTATCGAGTACAGACTGCAATTCTGAAGAAAAGATGAAATTGAATATAATATAACATTTTTACTTTGGCTTTACATAACACAAAATTCCTATTGAAATCAGTTTTAAGAAATCCACACGTTGCGTTTAATGCACAGACTGTTCGACTCTGGACACGCAAGTCAAATTTGATCTTTGCTTTCACTCTTTCCATTAATTTCATTCTCATCTTCAAATATTTATAATTCGATTAGAGTTAATAAACGTTACTTTTGCACACAATCATAAATATTAGCCTATTCCATATTCGTCTAATTAGAAAATTTGTTCAAACAGTCTGACTATTCCTAAATTGTAATGTTTAATGTATATGATGTATATGAGAAAAAAAGATGATGATGCATAGTTAATAGACTAGTGAATTATGCACGGCGAGTAAAATGAAGGCACGTGTCGACGTTATCAATGAAAAATCTCCGCTCGGTTTTTTCAGCTCCACTGAAAAAAAGACTATACAAGCGACGTTATTTCACAGCTTTGATTTATTTAGAGTACTTAATTAAGTCTCGTATCTATTCATTCGTGATTGTAATCTTTCTTTTTACTGCGACGAACAAGAAGGCGCTTTCATTTCGTCCGATGAAAGAACTTGCTAAGCGATTTCCTTGAGCGAGAAGGAAGCCCTGCTCGACGTCGATTATTCTGTCTGGAACCTGATACGTATTCTACAGGCGAATATTTATTATCTCCTTCACTTCTCTTCCTTTGTATCAATATCCTTTCTTTAGTGTCTGACCAATGTTTTTCTAGTAAAGTTAAATTTTAATTTATATTATTAGTTCAGGGT